CGTAGGTGGTGATGTTGGGCTCCAGCTTCTCTCAGCAGCGCCACAACCGGCTGCCACTGCCGACGCCTGCTCTTCTCGCACGCGCTGTTCGCAGTGAGGTAGGTGATGATGTTGGGTTCCAGCTTCACGTCTGCCATCTCGCTCAGCAGCGCCATTGCATGCGGCCACTGCCGACGCCTGCTCTTCTCGCACGCGCTGTTCACAGCGCCGTAGGTGATGATGTTGGGCTCCATCTTCACGGCCAGGATCTCGCTCAGCCGCCACACAACCTGCTGCCACTACCGACGCATGCTCTTCTCGCACGCGCTGTTCACAGTGCCGTAGGTGATGATGTTGGGCTCGAACTTCGCGGCCACAATCTCGCCCAGCAGCGCCGCAACCTGCTGCCACTGCCGGCGCCTGCTCTTCTCGCACGCGCTGATCGCAGTCCCGTAGGTGATGATGTCGGGCTCCAGCTTCACGTCTGCCATCTCGCTCAGCAGCGCCATTGCATGCTGCCGCTGCCAAAGCCTGCTCTTCCCGCACGCGTTGTTCACAGCGCCGTAGGTGATGATGTTGGGTTCCAGCTTCGCGATCAGCATCTCGCTCAGCAACCACACAACCTGCTGCCACTGCCGACGCCTGCTCTTCTCGCACGCGCTGTTCACAGTTCCGTAGGTGATAATTTTGGGCTCCAGCTTCGCGGCCACCATCTCGCTCAGCAGCGCCACTGCCCACTTCCACTGCCAACGCCTGCTCTTCTCGCACGCGATATTCAGAGCGCCGTAGGTGATGATGTTGGGCTCCAGCTTCACGGCCACCATCTCGCTCAGCAGCGCCACTGCCGGCTACGACAGCCGCCGCCTGCTCTTCTCGCACGCGCCGTTCACATTGTCGTAGGTGATGATGTTGGGCTCCATCTTCAAGACCCGGAGCTCGCTCAGCAGCACCACTGCTCGCTGCCTCTGCGAACGCATGCTCTTCTCGCACGCGCTGTTCACAGCGCCGTAGGTGATGATGTTGGGCTCCAGCCTCACGGCCACCATCTCGCTCAGCAGCGCCGCCACATGCTGCCACTGCCAACGCCCGCCCTTCTCGCACAAGTTGCTCAGGATGTCGCAGGTGATGATGTTGGGTGTCAGCTTCACGACAACCATCTCGCTCAGCGGCGCCACGGCCTGCTGACACTGCAAACGTCCGCTCCTCTCGCACTTCTCGCACGACCTCTTCAGGATGCCGTAGGTGATGATGTCGGGCTCCATCTCCACGACCACCATCTCGCTCAGCAGCGCCACAAACTGCTGCCACTGCAAAGGTGTTCTCTTCTCGCACGCGCTGTTCACAGTGACGTAGGTGATGATGTTGGGCTCCAGCCTCACGGCCACCATCTCGCTCAGCAGCGCCACAACCTGCTGGCGCTGCCACCGTCCGCCCTTCTCGCACGCGCTGATCACATTGACGTAGGTGATGATGTTGGGCGTCAGCTTCGCGACAACCATCTCGCTCAGCAGCGCCACGGCCTGCTGCCACCGCGGTCGCCTGCACTTCTCGCGCGCGCTGTTCACGGCGCCGCAGGTGATGATGTTGGGCTCCAGCTTCGCGACCACCATGTCGCTCAGCAGCGCCAGGGCCGGCTGCCACTGCCAACGCCTGCTCTTCTCGCACGCGCTGTCCACAGTGCCATGGGTGATCATTGCAGGCTCCAGCTTCGCGATCAGCATCTCGCTCAGCAGCGCCACCATCTCGCTGAGCAGCGCGACGGCCATCTGCCACTGCCCGCCCTTCTCGCACGTAAGCCTGACCCCCGCCGTCGCCACCAACATCCCGCTGAGCAACGCCAGGGCCGGCTGCCACTGCCCGCCATTCTCGCGCAGCAGGTTGGTCTCCAGCGTCGCCGCCATCTCGCTGAGCAGCGCCAGGGCCGGCTGCCGCTGCCCGTCCTTCTCGAACGTGAGCCTGACCTCCACCGTCGCCGCCATCTCGCTGAGCAGCGCCAGTGCCGGCTTCCACTGCCCGCCCTTCTCCCGCATGAGGTTGGTCTCCAGCGTCGCCGCCATCTCGCTGAGCAGCACCAGGGCCGGCTGTCAATGCCCGCCCTTCTCGAACGTGAGCCTGCCCTTCGACGCCGCCGCCATCGCGCTGAGCATCGCTAGGGCTGGCTGCCACTGCCCGCCATTCTCGAGCATGAGGTTAGTCTCCAGCATCGCCGCCATCTCGCTAAGCAGCGCCAGGGCCAGCTGCCACTGCCCGCCATTCGTGAGCATGACCACCATCGTCGCAACCACCATCTCGGTGAGCAGCGCCAGGGCCGGCTGCCACTGCCCGCCCTTCTCGCACGTGAGGTTGGGCTACACCGTCGCCACGATTAAGCTGAGCAGCGCCGGGGCCGGCTGCCACTGCCCGCCACTCTCGCACATGAGGTTGGTCTCCAGCATCACCACCGCCTCGCTGAGCAACGCCAGTGCTGGCTGCCACTGCCCGCCCTTCTCCCACATGAGGTTGGCCCCAAGCGTCGCAGCCACCGTCTCGCTGAGCAGCGCCAGGGCTGGCTGCCACTGCCCGCCCTTCCTGCCACCACCTCGGTGAGCAGCGCCAGGGCCGGCTGCCACTGCCCGCCATTCTCGCGCATGAAGTTGGTCTCCACCGTCGCCGCCATCATCTCGGTAAGCAACGTCTAGGCCGGCTGCTACCGACCGCCGATCTCGAACGTGAGCCTGACCTCCACCGCCGCAACAACCGTCTCGGTGAGCAGCGCCAGGGCTGGCTGCCACTGCCCGCCCTTCTCGAACGTGAGCCTGATTTCCAGCGTCGCCACCATCTCGCTAAGCAGCACCAGGGCCGGTTGCCACTGCCCGTCCTTCTCGAGCGCGAGCCTGCCCTCCACTGTCGCAACCACCATCTCGCTGAGCAGCGCCAGGATCGGCTGCCACTGCCCGCTCTTCTCGCAAATAAGGTTGGTCCCCAGCATCGCCACCGTCTCGCTGAGCAGCGCCAGGGCCGGCTGCCCCTGCCCGCCCTTCTCGCGCATGAGGTTGGTCTCCAGCGTCGCCACCATCTCGTTGAGCAGCGCCAGGGCCAGCTGCCACTGCCCGCCCTTCTCGAACCTGAGCCTGGCCCCCACCGTCGCCACCAACAACTCGCTGAGCAGTGCCAGGGCCAGCTGCCACTGCCCGCGGGCTCCATCATCGCCGCCATCACGCTGAGACGCGCCAGGGCCGGCTGCCACTGCCCGCCCTTCTCGCACGCGAGCCTGCCCTCCAACTTCGCGACCAACATTTTGCTGAGCAGCGCCAGGGCCGGCTGCCACAACCTGCCGTTGTCGCGCATGAGGCTCGGCGCCAGACTCGTCTTCATCTCGCTGAGCAGCGCCAGGGCCAGCTGCCACTGCCCGCCTCCCTCGCGCGAGCATGACCTCCAGCGTCGCCACCATCTCGAAGAGCGGCGCCAGCCCCACGCGGCGCCCTGGCGGGGAGGACTGCCGCCCCCCTTCTGCCACGCGAGGAGCACGCCTCGTGCGCCCCGCTCCGCCGCAGTGCCCATAAGGCGAGGTCGGCAGCCGCCCCAACGCACGGGAAACATGTCCACGCGCATTCGCCGCTGCTGGCCGTCGTGTCCGCGCCGCCACTGCCGTCTGTCCCCGCTCCTCCCACCGCGTCTCCTCCACCTTCTTCTCCACCTCCACTGCCCTCCATCGCTCCCCGCCGTGCCACTCCTTCTCCACCTCCGCTGCCTTCCCTCTCTCCTCCTACAGGTTCGCCGCCACTGCCGTCCCTCCCAGTCTCTCTGCCCGCGGTGTCCTTGCCGCCAGTCGTCGTGACGTGGGTCGTGCTCGTCCTGTGCTGCAGCCGTCGGTGGGGATTGTCACGCTGTGGCATGTGGTCGTCGCTGTGATTGTTGTCGTCATCGTGCGCACGGTATGTGGGAGGAGTCTGTCGCTGTGCACCTGGTACAAAGGGCGATGGTTGTCATGATCGTCGCGCTGGTGCTGAAGCCCGTCGTCGTCTCCTGCTGCGGCTGTTGGTCGTCGCGTTGGAGCTGTGCCGTGGCGCGCAGCGACGGCCGTCGTCGCCCTGCGGGTCGCCCCACGTGTCGTGGCCCACCCACACTGGGAGCCCGCCCGGGGGCACGCCAAAAGGAACACCACGGCGCTCATCCATCGCGATGCGGACAGTGTCTTGATCCCCCCCAGCATTGACCACCCGCAGCGTCGCGCGGACCTGGTCAATCTGCTCGAACGTGCCGTGTGCCGCAGCCGTGTCGTTCGCGCCCCGATCTGGCAGCTCGACGGGGCAGCCCGCCTCGCGCCGGACGAAGGACAGCAAAGCAGCACCGCGGGCAAGCAGTTGACCTCGACATCGTCAAGGGCACGTCACGCTGCCCCAATAGCACGGTCCGCGTCCGCGCCTGGAGAGAGCACGCTCTGCGCACTGGATCTGCACGCCGAGCCAGTCCTGCGCGTATCGGCCTGGGGATCCGCCCCAGCGGAGTCGCAGGAACCGCTGGTTTGCGAGTTGTGCGACAGCGTCAACTGCTGGTCGATCGGAACGGCACCGGGTGCAGAAAACCAGGCCGCGCCACGAGCGCCGTCGGCTGGCGACCGCAACCCTGTGCACCAGACGCGTCAATGCCGTCTCCCGTTCCCTGTCAGGTGTCGTCGGCGGGGGGGCGGTCTGGACCGTCATAGCTGCAGCGTCGGCCATTGCCTCGGCCAAAATCCCAAGCCAAGGTCCGCGATGCTCGTGTACTGCCAGGTCGGTCTGTTTGGTTCTTTGGAGGACCGACGATAGGCCCATGTTGGCGACGGTGTCGTGGTGGAACGCCAGCCCCCACTCTATGGTGGCTTCGATCGCCAAGGAAGCGCCTTGTAGCACGCAGCGACGGGCGTGAAGTTGTTGATTCGTCACCACGTGGAGGTCTATGCCGCATGGGCCCCATCGAAGCCGGAAGGCGTCGGCCCACCCCTGGAGTAGTTGGTCGGCAGGTACGTCGGTTCGGAGGAGGCCGCGGGTGCACAACGCCACCTTGGTCAGGCGCTGGGAAGCTCGATTGACTGCGCGGAACATTTCTTCGAACATGGCGAGACCAGTGACTGTGGAAAGGTCCTTCCCGTCCAACGCTGCAAGCAAGGAGTTAGCGTCGAGGTGCTCGCATGCCGGGCACGCGTCCGATGCTCGGCGTAAGTAGCTGAGGTAGGGGTCGCGCACCTCCAGCGTCATGCACTGCGTGCTCCGCGCCCACGGGGCAAACAAGGTGTCGATGTCGATGCCGACGCTGCCAGCGGGGATGCAGCGGCGCTCCAGAAGCCTCGGGAGGTTTGGGGCCTCCGAGTCTCGCGGCTCGGCCGGGTCGCGCCAGAACCTGCGCGTGCCCGCTGCGAGGAAAGGGCGCGCGGAGCCGTGTGGACAGGCCACCCTGCGAGAGCGATCCTGCAGGTTACCAAGTGCTGGTCGTTCCGGTGTTGGTGCTGGTCGAGCTGGCGTTGGTGCTGGGTGCTGGCGTTGTTGCTGGTCGAGCTGGTGCTGGTCGTGGTGCTGGTCGGCGTGCTGCTCGTGGTGCTGGTCGTTGTGCTGGTCGTTGTGCTGGTAGTTGTGCTGGTGGAGTGTTGGTCGTGGTGCTGGTCGTTGTGCTGGTCGTGGTGCTGGTCGTTGCGGTGGTCGGAGTGCTGGTAGTTGTCCTGGTCGCTGTGCTGGTCGGAGTGTTGGTCGTGGTGCTGGTCGTTGGGCTGGTCGGAGTGCTGGTCGTTGTGCTGGGCGGAGTGCTGGCCGTTGTGCTGGTCGTTGTGCTGGTCGTCGTGCTGGTCGTCGTGCTGGTCGGAGCGGCGACGGCTCGTGCGTTTCCGCCACGCCGTCTGCGCCCGCAACACCGCCGCCGCACGGTGCCCAGTAAAGTCCCCGGCCGCTTCAGCGAGAGGCGCGGCATGGTGTCGGGGCTCGTCTTGCGAGGCGCATCGATCCTGGCGACGCGCGTCGCGCTGTGCGGCTCTGAGCGCCGGCGCGGAGAGGGCCGCAAACTCCTCGTCTGACATGTCGGCAAGCCCGTGGTGTCTGCCCGCGGCGGCGCGCAGGAGCGTCTCCCGGGCTGCAGGGCTGACCCATCCAGCGCGCCAAAGCGCCACGGGGCCGTGGTGATCGCTAACGCCTGTGTGGCGGCATGCTGCCTTATGCAGGCGGTGCCCCGCCAGGACAGCACGCTCGCGGGACGTGGCCCCACCGGGGGCCGCCATCAGTGCTCGGCATTGCTCCTCGGCCCGCAATCGCTGCGCGGGCTCGATCTGCAGACGCCCGCGCAAGGCCTCTATGTGCATGCGTCGCTGCCATCGTCGAAGGCGCGTGCGTGAGATGATGCAGCCAGGCTGGTCGTGGTGCTGGTCGGAGTGCTGGTCGGAGTGCTGGTCGTGGTGCTGGTCGGAGTGCTGGTCGTGGTGCTGGTCGGAGTGTTGGTCGTGGTGCCGGTCGTGGTGCTGGTCGGAGTGCTGGTCGTTGCGCTGGTTTGCGTACTGGTCGGAGTGCTGGTCGTGGTGCTGGTCGTTGTGCTGGTCGTGCTGGTCGTTGCGCTGGTCGTGGTGCTGGTCTTCGCGTTGGTCGTTGTGCTGGTCGGAGTGCTGGTCGGGATGCTGGTCGTGGTGCTTAGTTTTGTGCTGATCGGAGTAGTGGTCGGAGTGCTGGTCCGAGTGGTGGTTGGAGTGTTGGTCGTGGTGCTTGTCGGAGTGCTGGTCGTGGTGCTGGTCGGAGTGCTTGTGGGAGTGCTGGTCGTGGTGCTGGTCGCCCCGCTGGTTTGAGTGGTCGTCGTGCTGGTCGCTGTGCTGACTGGAGTGCTGGTCGTGGCGCTGGTCGTTGTGCTGGTCGTGGTGCTGGTGTTGATCGGAACGACGGTGATGCTGGTACTGGTGGTGGTGCTGGTGCTGATGCTGGTCGCCGTGTGAACGCTGGCCGTCTTGCTGGTGGCCAGTCGCTGCCATTGCCCGCACGCCCTCCATGCTGCTAGCGCTGTCCCGCGACCCCGAGCTGTTATCGTTGTTTTTTCCCAGCTTTCGTTGGCCTCCCCGCTCCGCCGTTACCATTGCCGTCCCTCCTGTCCACGCCTCCACTGCCGTCCCTCCCCACTCCTCTCACCGTGCTGCCACTGCCGTCCCTCTCACCGTACCGCGCGATGAACGTGCTGATGAACGTGATGTCGTGCCTCGCGGGGTCTCTGATGTTGTTACCGAGCGTCATGCAGTACGTGCCCCACTGCTCCTTGGCGACAGGGTCGCTCCTGCTTGATTTGGTCCACCATGGCCCTTTTGTGCATCGGCTCGGTCGCCCTCCGCGGGGGAGGCAGGCGAGGCCGCCATCCGTGGGAGAGGGGCTCGGCGCCGCTGGCCGCCGTCGCTTCGGCAGCCGATGGCGCCGCCGCAGCCATCCGTCCGGCGCCCCGCATCCCCCAGGCGGCGCGCACGGCAAGGCTGAGCCAAAATGGCTACGGGTCCTTGTGGGGTTACGCGGAGCGTCTAGATTCTCTTAATTTGACGTGCCGACTAGGAGTGACTAGGTGTGGGTGGGTCTGGCTGTGGTAAGAACTGCATTTGAAGCATGAATGGGACATGCAGGGGGGATTCGGGAGAGAAACGAAGAAGGAGTGAGCAAGGTGGAGGCGCAACACCAACAGCAAAAATCTCATACCTCGATTGACAATGATCTGATCCTGTGTGAAGAGGTACAACACAGAAATGGACTGTGCTGTTCAACTGCCAGGAAGTTCAAGCTTCGGATGGACTCCAGAGTGCGAGTAAGTCTCCAGCAACAGCTGGATGCTGAAACCGGACCGAAAGTCCATCCGTGTAGTTGTTGGTGGTATGTACAAGATAGACGCCCTGATGTGCGACGAGGAAGAGTTAACATGGAAGAGATCTGGAGGAGCTCGAGGATGGACGAGGAGTAGAGAAAGGAATATGAGTACTCGGCCGTCCGCCCCGTCGTCAACGTTCTCCTCGTCGCCCCATCCGTTGATCGTCCCAGATCTGCTCCTCGTCTTCTTGTTATTCCTTTCCCTACTCATATGGACCTCCCTTCGCATTCTCTTTCTCCGACGACGGCTCTTACAACTGCTTGGGGGTGCCCCTCCAGCGACGGACAACCCCGGAGCATGCCCAGAGCGAGATCGAGTCGTCGTCGTCGGTGTTTTCCTTCTCCTCCTCGCTATCCCTCCTACTCTCCTCCCCGTCTTCCCGGTCATCCTGTGATGGAGACTTCTCGCTCCAACTTATCCTCTTCAACCTTCTCGTCTTCTTGCCACTCCCCCCCGCCTCAGCATCCTCAACCTCTCGTCATCCTTTACTGGACACTTCCCGTCCTGGTTCCTCTTCCTCCTCCTCGCCCTCCTCCTCCTCCTCCTCCTCTGCCTCGTCTTCCTCGTCCTCCGTCTTAAGGCTCGTCATGCTGCGCCTTACCGTTCTTCGCCTCTCCTGCCGAAGATGATTGCGGGGAGGGGGAGGGCGGCCTTCCGCCGCCTCCACGCTCCATTGCGATGCAAGCATCGCTTGCCGCGACACCCGCTCCGCTTTCTCCTTCTCCTCTTCACGCTCTTCCGGGCGGCCCCAGCGACCCCGATTTTCCGCACCCGCAGCTGGAGTGATATGGCATATGGCCACGGGTGACGATGGTCGCGATGGCAGCACGGCATGGAGTCTGGTGGTCCCTGCCTTGAATTAACAGGCGCACGCTGAGGCCGTCAGGTGCCAAGGACGTTGATCAAAAGGTCGAGCAGCATGCGGACCGCCTAGCTGCCGCGGAGCAGCATGCGCCATCAGACGGGCGTCGTTCGAGCTGTCTGTTGCCGCCTGGCCAGGCTCCCTCAACGGCGCGGGCTGATCAGCTCCATAACCGCCCGCGCGGCGGGTCTGTCATCGGAGCCATCGGTCTCGTGGTCGACGAGGTAGGTCTTTGGGCCTTGAATGACGGCAAAAGGCGGAGCGCTGTCCAGCGAATCCAAAACCACTGGGGCGGCAGCGTCACGCAGCTCCTCGATCCGGGCCAGCACGGCTGCGCTCGGGGCACCGATCCTCACGTTGGGCTCCAAGCCAAAGAAGGCCCGGACGTGGAACGGGAGGAGCCCCTTCTCAACAGGGTAGGCAACTTTCATAAAGAGCGCTGGGCTTAGACCTTTCACTTTGGCGAAATTGAACAGGTCCTCGGGCGACTTATCGCCCAGCAGCGCGTCTTCGCCGGCAGAGCAGCGCTTCAGCAGAACCGATGCGGCACCGCCTGTTGCCACACCGCTCTGACACTTCTGCGACACGTAGCACCACTGGCCAGAGTGCGACAGACCAGAACCCCCGTTTACGTTCAGGCACGAGCTGTCGTCGAGGTGGGACAGGAAGGTGTCGCAGAGCTCGGCCCCTACCACCTGCCAGCAAAAGAAAGATCGGGCGTTGGCGGGACTGGGTTTGGTGGGACCTAGAGAAGTGCACAGGTGGACGCCCGCCCCGCCCCATATTCCACTAAGCGGAGCTGCCGTCACCCGAAGAAACACCGGCTACGGCAGACTTGGTTTAGTGATTCTGGCAACCGTTTTTGGGCTTCAGGGCGCAATCACTAACCGGCTCCCCTTACCCGGGGACGTGGCTATATCCGAAAGCAGGGAGGGAGCGAAGGAGAAGGACGACGGCGAAAGAAAACGCGACGCAGACGGCGACGAAGACGACAAAGACAGCCTGCGAGTCGTTCATGCCGAGGAGCATGCCGTCGTTGGGGCCGGGCCGGGGCCGTGAGCACGCGGCCGCCCCGGAGCCGTAAGTCTCCTTCCAGTTCAGGCACTCGCAGGGCCCCTCGTGGACCAGCTCCAGCGCGCAGCACAGCGGCGCGAAAGCCGCGGCAGTCGCCAGCGCGCTGCCAGCGCGGCGGCACAGGGGCCGCATGGTAGAGGGAGCTGGAGATCGTTTCTCATTTTTCGGCGATGGCCCAGGGTGTCCGGTGGGGGGGAGGGACCTCTTCGCTTTAGGCAGCCCCACGTATGCCCGCGCGAACTAGTACTGCGTAGTTACCCCCTTCGGACCTGCGCAACCAACAAGGTTGGGTTATCTGGGAGGGGAGGCGCACGGGGCCGATAATCTGGGCCATCGCCGGACCTGAACAAAAACAGTCTCCAGCTAGGGAGAGGAAGCTGACGAGCACCACCAGGCCCATAAGAAATCCGTCTCTGGCTCTGCCAGGAGAGGCCCTGTACCCAAGAGGGCCCGGCTGCCCAGGAGGCCCCAAAGGTCCCCAATGGCGCTATGTGCTGGAGGCACACTGGGCCAGGATCGCCTCCGGCAATCTCGATCCTTTTTGACGCAGGTCGTGGTGGACAGGACTTGCGGCATCCTGGCCTGGCCAGGGGCCGGCACCCGCCAAGCTCTGGGATCAGAAGCCACCCCCTGGCCTCTCGATCAATGCATCTTCATGAATGATGGATGACCCAAATAGGCGTGCTGGCGAACGGTCGGCTTCCCTCTCCCGACCCTACGGGTAAGGTAACGGTTTGAATCTAATCCGCTGCCCCCCCTCGAGAGGGCCACATGGCCGCCACGCAAACGGCTCAATGTTCCCAGACAACGCCTCAAGACGGCCCCGAGGCGCCCCGCAAACTGCCTCCAATCAACTTGCGATATGGCCACGAGTATGTCGGAAGAGAGGGGGCGTCCGACTGGATACCACATCAGTCCGGTCGAATGGACGTCACACCGTTGCGGTGTGCACTGGTGCCCGAATCCGAGGCTGTTACCTGGATGGTTGGCCGCGCTCCGAAGAAGCCAACGCTCGCCGGGGAAACCCCGCAGGGAAGAGGAGGGGGGGAGGAGCGACGACGAGGCAAGCGGTAAGCTCAGACATTTGACGTACTGACCAATGCCCTCATGATAGGATCGCTTGTTTGTTGCTGGTGACATGGCTCAGGCTCCTCCTCGCCAGCCTACCATCTCCTCCGGCAGTCCCTCCTTCATCCCGCAATTTATCTCCCATTCAGACTAACTCACACAAACTCGCTGTTATCCAACCATTCATATTCATGCTCGGTCACTCATACCCAGTCGGTCACATTCAGATTCACCCGCACTAGAGCTCACACATCGGCAATGGCGCATAAGCATTCAAACTCGCTCACGCCAACGTCAGTCACACTCAGATTCGCCCATAGCAGGCCATTCCGACCCAGAATCCTCACACTTAGAGCCACTCAGAGTCTGTCAGTCGTGCGTATACGAGTTCGCTCTGAAATGCGCACGCCTGTCTGTAGCCGGTTACCCGTACTCGGATCCGATCTGGCTCCCGTGCGCTACAATGAAGCCTTCCGCATCACTCAATTCTGACTCATACCCTGCGGAGACGACAAGGAACCGATACTGGGAATCCCAGGACCTCTCCCAGGGTGCGCCATGACAAGATATAGGTTGTGACTATATAAATATATACATACTCACGTATATATACAGCAATTCCCGCGTAGGCAAGGAGGGAAAAGGGGGCGAAGCCTTCTGGATAGTAAGATGAAGCGGAAATCGTTGTCTGATATCCGCGCCAGGCGGAGCACCCCGCAAGAGGTTCCGCCGCCTTGCAAGGCAGCCAGAATGGCGGCGCAGGGAATGTCCGGGGGGCTCGAGCCCACTGAAGAAGTGTGTGTGTGAGAGAGAGAGAGAGAAAGAGAGAAGCAGGATATGAAGGGGAGAGGGCGAGAGGGATTCTTGCATATCTATATATATATATATGGAGAAAGAGAGAGAAGCAGAGAGAGAGAGAGAGAAAGAGGGAACAACACCACAAAACAACAACTACTCTGACGAAAGGGCGCCACATGAAGAGTTTCTTAATCCTCGTGGCAGTCACCATCATCGACGACTAACGATGGCGATGGTACCAAGATGCCAAGAAACGGCCAGTGAGGCCGTTTAGACCTGTGAGGCCCGTGGTACTTGTGGGGCCTGTGCGACCCGTGGGACCTGTGCGACCTGCGGGGCCTGTGCGGCCTGTGGGGCCTGTGGGACATGTGAGACCTGTGGGGCCTGGGGCACGTGTGGGACCTGTGGGACCATTGGGGCCCATGGAACTCGTGGGACCTGTGGGGCCTGTGGGACCTGTGAGACTTGTGGAGCCCATGACACCTGTGCAGCTTGTACAGTTTGTTGGACCTGTAGGACCTGCGAGCCTTGCGAACCCTGCAGGGCGTGTAGGATCTGCGAGGCCTGTATGATATGTGGGGCCTGTGGTACCTGTGGGGCCTGTGGGACCTGTGGGGCCTGTGCGGCCTGTGGGACCCGTGGCAGTTGAGAGACTTGTGAGACCTGTGAGACCTGTAGGACTTGTGGGGCCTTTGAGATCCAGGGTGGCCCCGAAATCCTCGTCGACCGTGGCTTATGATCTAAGAATGCTAAACCTAGGTTCGTTATGATCAGATGATACCCCCCATTGGATCATTGGCCTGTGGATGGATCGGTGCCCCCCCCTCACTGGATCATTTCATGCCCGAATAATGCATATGGAGTCGATATTCCGGAATAGTGAACCAGGGCTGATCCAAATCCAATATCCTTCTCAGGCGTTTCCCTCCTCCGCTGGATCATTATCACTCCAGAATGATAAACCGAAGTACATTATTCCCACAACTTTACTAAACCCAGCTTATGATGTTTTAGACATAGCGGACTAGGGTCAATATCCGAACATAACGAGTCCCAATTTTGAAGCGCGAGGTTGGGGGTAAATAAAAAATGCGCGAATCGTTCTGGAATCATGAATCCGGATTCAGAATACACGCCTATGGCTCACGCGACGCCCCTCGAACTCCATTATAATCATTCCCGGATAAACAACCGGGGCTCATTATCCCCGATACATTATTAACCCCGGTTAATATTTTCAGGAAACGTATGAGCCCAAAGTACTATCATTTTGGGGTCGATATGCCCGAAGCACTACAAACCAAAATTTGTAATGTTCAGGGGATACATTATACACCCCAATCAATATGTCCCGGAGCATTAAAACCGAAATTCATAATGTTCCGGGGAGAACATTATGAGCCCTGGTCAATAATCCCGGAACGTTATAAACCCAGGTTGATATCTTTCTGGGGCTCGTCCTGTTGGGATCGGTGGGTAATGTGGGACACGTTGGGCCAGTAGGAGCCGTGGGAGCCGTGAGTCATGTTTGGCCTGTTGGACCTGTATAATATGTGTAACCTGTGCGACCCCAACTCCCGCTCGAGACCTCCTCGCGATTCACTCACAGACGAAGCTCGCGCTCGAGACTCCTCCATTATGTGCCTCCTAGAAGCGCTCAAATATTATGCCAGCTACATTTCGCCGATGACCCTATCGGATTCGAACATGGAGACGGGCACCCCATAGGGAGAGAGCTCCAACTCGATAATTATTCGCGGTTCACTCACAAACCAGGCTCCCGCTCGAGATTTCCTCCAGATTTGACAACACCTATACATGTTGGATAGCCCCGCTCGGAATCGTACGTAGAGGGGATACCGCTCGAGACTCCCCTGCGATTCACTCACAAGCCAGGCTCCCGCTCAAGACTTCCTCCAGATTCAAACCTGAGCCCCGAAATAACGACAAGTATAAGGTTTGAATGGCCTCGCTCGAAATCGAACGAGAAGGCGTGGACCCCATCGGGAGGTGGCTCCCGCTCGAGAGTTCCTCGCGATCCACTCACAAGCCAGGCTCCCGCTCGAGCTGGTGATGATGGGGGAGATCATGATAATAATGACGATGACGATGACGATGACGATGACGATGACGATGACGATGGCAAAGGCGACGGTGTTGATGCTGATGATGCTGCTGATGCTGATGACGCTGATGATGACGGCAATGACGATGCTGATGGTGATGATGATGATGATGATGATGATGATGATGATGATGATGATGTTGCTGCTGATGATGCTGGTTGTGGTGATAATGATGATGGTGATGATGGTCATGATGATGGTGGTCACGGTGTTGATGAAGAGAACGGTGATCATACTAATGACGATGACGATGACGATGACGATGGCAATTGCGATGGTGACGCTGCTGATGATGTTGCTGATGATGAGGATGATAATGATGATTATGATGTCAATCAAGATGATGATGCTGAGTTTTCTGCTGATGCTGATGCTGATGCTGATGCTGATGCTGATGATGATGATGATGATGATGATGATGATGATGATGACAATGAGATGCTGATGATGTTGGTGTTGCTGCTGATGATGATGATGAGTACGGTGATTCTGATGATGATGCTGCTGATGATGATGATACTGATGTTGGTGGTGGTGATGGTGATGATGCTCTCTTCCCCAAGGTGAGCGTGCGCGTGTGAGAGAGTACGCGAGTGTTTGCGATGATGCTGATGGTGTGGCGATGGTGGGTGTGAGCACATGGTGTGGCGATGATGATGGCCAATGGCCATGATGGGAAGATGATAGTGAAGATGATGGTGCAATGGTGGTGGTGAGTGTGAAATGAGGAGAGGAGGATTGTGGCAATAGTGGGTGATGATGATGGTTGGTGCGGAAGGAGGAGAGGCGGACAGATGGGGGCGAGGTGTTCCTGTGCGGGGGAGACAAAGACAGCTAACACCCACTTAGGAAATTAGGGGGCATAAGGAAGAGTGATGAGAGGAGAAGGCGATGGAGGAGCACGGGGACGGTGAAAACGGGATAGAGGAGCAGCGACAGGAGTAGGAGCAGGAGGACGGGGAGGGGAATGAGGACGAGGACGGGCCGCTTCAATAGAAAAGGGCAGGGAAGATAGACACGAGGGGCCAGGACGAGACGGAGTGACTGGAGTCTTGCCTGCGCCAAGAGTCGCAGGAGTTACAGGACCTCTGGGGGTTCGCGGAGGTTTCCCACTGGCTGCTCGATGCCCGCCCAGGGACGCATCGTTGGCGCCCCGTGCTCTTGCTTGGTTTAGTTTGCGCGCCTTGTGGGCGCCTCGTGTGCTTGCTGGGCTGTCTGGACTCTCGCCCGGGGACTGTCCGTGGGCGCCTCGTTGGCGCTCCGTGCGCTCGCTGGCGTTTCCGGATGGACGCACTGATTGCACCACACAGCTTTCACCACGTAGGTTGCAGCCCACTGTGCTGCACATGCAGAGCACAAGCGCCTAATTGTTTAGTCAGGCCCACGCTCGTACACGTGGAGCTGGCGGAGCGGCTGCCCCGCCACGTGCTGACCAGTTGGACGAAGCGGAGCAGGGGAGGATCAGGAGGTCGGGGAGCAGAGGCAGGGGACGAGGAGCAGCAGGGGAGGGAGGATGAGGCCTGGAGGGAGCGAGGGGGGGGGAAGCGGCGGAGCAATCAGTGAACAAAGCTGCAGAGGGGGCATCACTTAGCTGGGCAGGCACGGCCGAAGACCAAGCAGGAACACGAGGTCGCGGAGGAGCATGGGGAGGGAGGGCGAGGAGGAGGACGATGAAGAAGAGTAAGAAGACGAGAATGACGGTGAGGAGGGGGACAATCAGGAGGACGACGACGAGAGCAGGAAAAGGAACAGGATTACCGTATGCTTTCTGGCGATCCAGGCAAACCACCTGAAACATCCCCACAATCTGGGCGCGATCGGGCCTGTGCAATACACACAGGAGGGTTCCCCTCTGGGTGCCCAAGTGCCACGCTTGCTTTATCGCGGTGAACAGTGGACTACCAAAAGAAAACAGTTCACTTGAGAGATCCTGCACAGCTGCCATCGCACGCCCAACTGCCATTGCTTGAGAGATCCCCACAATCTCGGCGCGAACGGGCCCGTGCAATACCCCCTGGCGGCTCTCCCTTGGGAATGCTGAAACAAGCGTCTCGCTCGAGACATCCTCAGTCTTTGTGTGTGAGTGATCTGAAATATGAGTGGGTCCGAGTGAGGACGTGGTGAGGCGAGTCTGTATCAGGAGGAGTGAGTCTGACGCGGAGAGTCTACATGCTTATGACTGAGAGTGAATCTGAGTATGAGTGATCTAAGTATGAGTATCTAAGTGGGCCTGCGTGAGAAGGCCTGAGTGTGTATGAGTGAGAGTGACATTATGGGCGCTTGAAGAAACAAGTGAAGCAAAGGAAAGAGAGGGGAAAGAGGAGCAAGGTCCGGAGGAGTGCAAGTCGTGACTCTAACCCGATCTTAGGATATGGGGAACACTGGGATACCGATAATTACCAGTACTCCACGGCACTCTCCTGGGGTGCTTTCAGACTAGAATTCAGGGCGAATCCAGCCGCGGCGACGAGGGCTCCTAGGACGCCCAAACGGCCCAAAACGACGCAAGGGCAGCGGCATGCCCCCGAGCCTGCTCGGCCGTGAGCTGCGTCCGCTTCAGCTCGATCGTCTGCCTTCGTGGACGGGGGGTGGGGGCAGCCGGGGGGGGGATCAGAGCTGGTACAGGGCTTCGAGATGCGCACTGACAGCGCCCCCAGGCAGCCCTGGCTGGCCTCAACAGGCCCCCCGAGTACTCAGCTGGCCTCAACAGGCCCCGAGTAGTCCAGGGCGGTCTCAACACCCTGTTGCCGCCTCCAGCGGCGCCCCTAAGGCGCTCCCCGCCCCAGGGTTGAGGTGTTGACCCAGGGGCGGAGCGGCGCCGATGTCGCCCAGAAGGTTTCCCCAGGGAGCGGCGGGAACGCCAGGGCGCCTAATTGAACCTGCGAGCGCGCAGTGATGCGACTCCACAGCTCGCCACCGCAGGCAGGCGAACGACTCTTGCTTCCCGTCCAAAGGGGAGAGGGGAGGGGGGGGGAATTTGCCCTCGACCCTCGAGGGGGAGGTTCTCGGACGTTACCCCGGGTGCGGCCCAATAGGGGGGAACCAAGAGCGGAGGGGGGGGGCCAACAGGTACCGATACCGCTACTCACCAGACCTCTCCCATGGTGCGTTCTGACCAAAATTTCGAGGCGAATCCAGCAGTGGCGACGAGGACCTTCCAGGAGGCCCAAAAATTGGACGAGGGAAAGGTAGTACGGTAGAGGGAAACAATTACTAAACACCCCCCCTCCCCCCAAACTCAAAGTTGGCACGCGCGGGGAAGACTGCGGTCGAGGTGCAACTCATCAGACCCACCGCCAACTTTAAACGTTGGGGTGAGGGGGAGGCGTTGACAGATGAATGCGGCATGAGTGTTCGCTATTTTTGTCCGAGGCCTGTATGGGTACATGTTCCTCCTCTAAGGGGGGGAATTGTTCACCTTCCGTGCACCTGCGGGGCCTCAGAGCGATCCTTCTTCAGGCCCCTTTCCTCCTGCAACTCTCGATCCCTGGGTTACTTGGTTACTCGGCAGACAGTGCACTGTACAAACACAGCACACTGCTGGATAACAAATTACGCAAGTCTCCTGACCTCCCTGAGAACCCGCCCTTGGGGTGGGAGAGCTACGGAGATAGTGACGTCCGTTTCAGGCAGGAGTCTCCTCTTAAGCTTCCTGCTCTCGGAAGAAGCCGTCCCGTCGCATACTCGACCCCTCCCATTGACCGCCACCCCAGCTACCGCTTCCCCATTGTGGTAGATTCCAGTGGCCTCTGAGGACGTCAGTCTGTGACCCTCCAAGAACATCTGCGCGGTCAGAACCCGAGGCGGAAGCACCGGGGAGAAAGGAATCCCAGTCCTCGCCTCCGCCTCCTCCTCCTCCTCCTCATCCTCCTCCTCGCCTCCTCCTCCTACTCCTCCTCCTCCTCCTCCTCCTCCTCCTGCTCCGCGCCTCCTCCTGATCGTCATCGTTCTCCCCTCCTTTTATGCTTCCCTCTTTCCCGTCCTCCCCCTTCTATCCTCCTCCTCCTCCCCCTCCCCCTCCGCTGTTACTTTCCCTCCTCGTCCTCTGCTACCCCTCCCCCCCCGCTGCTGCTGCTGCTGCTCCTCCTCCTTCTCCTCCTCCTCCTCCTCCTCCTCCTCCTCCTCCTCGTCCTCCATTCCTTCTCATTATAAACAACTTCTCCCTGTCGCACCCCGAGGCCAGCTTTCTAGGGCGGGCCGGGCGTTTCGCCTGAGACTTCCTCACCATTTAACTCTGAAGCACAAAGATTGGAAACAATTTCACAAATGGAGGGCGGGGGTGGTCTTCAAAATGTGGCTCTCGCCTTACCGCCGCGAACATTCCTTGTTCAAAGTTGTAAGAGCTTCACGGATTGAGGGTGGGTCGTTTTCAACATGTGACTCTCGCCTTAGCGCCGCGCAGATTCGTTGCAACAGAATTCAAGAGGTTCACGGACTGAGGGCGTGTCGTTTTCAAACTGTGGCTCTCGCCTTAGCGCCGCGCAGATCCGTTGTGAACAAATGCAAGAGCTGCACGGATTGAGGGCGGGTAGTTTTTCAAACTGTGGCTCTCGCCTGAGCGCGGCGCACATCATTTGTAACGAATTGCAAGAGCTTCACGGATTGGGGGCGGTTCCTTGTCAAAATGTGGCTCTCACCATAGCGCCGCGCACATTCGTTTACAACATGTTCAAGGGTTTCACGGATTCCCATCATGTTCAATATTATGCGGGTGCAACAATTACGTTGGTTCTCTGCGTTGAATTCCTGGGCATGGCGTTCTGGCACGATTCAAGATCGTCAGGACGCAACAATCAGGTTGATCCGTGGCGTTGGAATCCCGAGAGCAATGTTTTGCGATGTTTCAGGGTTTTCAAACGGATGTCTTCCAACGAGGTAGTTCCCTCAGTGGAAATGAACCAGTGTAGGGGTCTGTGAAGAGGGAGCTTGGAGGGGAGGTTTACTCCAACATCGTTGATGACTCTTGGGTGTACACTGGTCCTGCTCCGCGCGCGCGCCCCCTCGCACACACTGGTCCTGCTCCTCCTCCACCTCCTCCTCCTCGTCCTCCTCCTCCTCCTCTCCCTCCTCCTCCTCTCCCTCCTCCTCCTCCTCCTCCTCCTCCTCCTCCTCCTCCTCCTCCTCCTCCTCGGGTCGCGAACACATGCTGGCAACCGACAGTTGTTTGTGTGTCAAGCGTTCGGCCCCGGGGGGGGCCTCACAGCGCCCCCAAAAACCAAGAGCGGATCATAATGGGAATGCAAGTCTCAGAAGAAGGTGTCAAGATCCTTAGGGGCACACGATGTGACAAAGGATGACGACGTCAAGGAGGATGGGATCGACAGGGGGAGGAGCACGGCGCAGACTCGGCGGATCGGCGTCGCGCAAAGGTCCTCAACCTCATGCGCGTCTCCTGATATGCTCCATGCATTAGATGGGAAATACGTAACCAAGTAACCTGTGATCCCACTGATGTACGCGTTACTCCGTGGTCTCTGCTCTCTACACCGCGCGAGCCAACGTGCACTAGACCCGAACATGTACCATCCATGGTATACCATACTCTTTCTACCCGATAGCATGATGCGTATACCATGTACCATGTATCGCACTTGTTGGCAACAACGTGTGATATACCTGGTGGAATGGTGTGTGAAATATGGCATCTACGACCATACAATTACACCCATTTGTGCGCTGTGGGATCAAATCATATGTCTCGGTTGTGTGCCTTATCTATTACAACAGACCCTTATCGATTACAACAGACTCTCAACCCAATAGCATCCCTTCGTTCCCTCCTCCTCCTTCTCCTCCTCGTCTTTTCCATCCCCCTCCCTTTCCTCCTTCTCCCCCTTCCTCCTCCTACCACCTTCTATGCAGGAGAAGAAGGAGAGCGACGACGACGCCAGCCCCTTCGGAGGAAGAGACCGAAGGGGGAAATGTACAACAATGAGAGCGACAACGAGGAGGACGGAAAAAGCGACGACGACGACGACGCTGACGACGAACAGGGCAATTCGCAGATGCGGGCAACGAAGATGACGGCAACGAAGCAGTTTATAATGAAGTGCGCGAGCGGCACACTCTACATATACAGTTAGACCATGCTCGCGACTGGCCTAGCAGATGGTTGCGCAACTCACTGAGACATGCCGGCAACAGAGACAACGTCAACGACGACGGATCCCGCGGGGGGGGGTCGCGTCCTGTAGTTGTGCTGCGGGTGCTCCCGCGGCTCATCGCAACTGATGCCTGGGCGGCGAACGACGAGAAGAGCTCGACGACGGCGAGAACTCCGACGACGACAGGGGGGCAAGGGAGGCCCCATCGGCGCCTGGCATGGACTCGCTGAGGGACATGCCGAACGACCACTCCAGCCCGTTGACCTGGCAGCAAAGGATGGGCATTTCGGGGAGCGGAAGAGCTTGCACAGCAAAGACCAGTCCACGAGCAACCCATCGCAAGACACCCAAGCCTGAACATTGCGGAAGTTTATTGGGCCAGGGTTGGGTGTCTTGCGTAGCGGCCGCCAGCGAAGAAACTCAGAGTACTCTGGGCCATGCGGTTGATTGATGGCTCGTGCAAAGCACCTCAACGTCAAGACACTCAGGGTACCCTGCCAATTCAGGTATCTTCGCGACCGCTGCAAGCCTTCAATCCGAGCACAAACTACAGAAACCCAGGGCACGTTGGCAAAACGTATGGCTTTTCTTGGCATAGGCTCCCACTGCAGTGCGCACCCAAGATAAACTCTCTGCCACTTCTGAGAACTATGAAATGCAGTTTATGTCGAAATGTGAGCGACCTGGCAGAACGCAAAAACTGTCAAGATGACGTGGGTCAAGCTATTCTAAAGCGCCCCGGATGTGGAAGCGCCTGGCGAGAAAGCTGCACCGTGCCGTCGTACAAGACACTGGCAACAATTGGCGCCTGGGGGAGGAGGCCAGACGCCTCCGGAATTGCTTCCGCAACGGTTTCTTCGGCCAACCCCTGAGTAGATGGCCTCCCTTGAGACACGGGACGCCGGTGGGGAATTCGTCCTCGGAGGCGTCCCCAATGAAACTCAAAGACGCTTAGCTGATACGGGCCTTCCGAGTCGAGACTCGTGCACGTCGACTTTCGACCGTCGGCAAAATAACTTCGCATAAGGAGAGCAGGGCTTGGTCGTGAAGTTCTTGACACTACGCTATGACACTATGAAAGCTTCACGCAAACCGTAGCGTAGTGTCATAGCGTAGTGTCACGCATGACACTACGCTAACCGTAGCATCGTGTCATAGCGTAGTGTCACGCCCAGGTGTCACCAACACTACGCTATGACACGCTAACCGAAGCGTAGTGTCGAGCGTAGTGTCACGCCCAGGTGTCCCCAACACTACGCTATGACACTACGCTAACCATTAGCGTAGTGTCATAGCGTAGCGTCACACCCAACTGATTCCAACACTACGCTATGACACCACGATAACCGCAGCGCAAAATTCTGTCACGGAGGTAAAACCCTAAGGACCAGCAATGCCGAACAGCAACAACAAACAAACTCTTCCTGTTCCCTCCGCCCCAACCGTAGCGTAGTGTCATGGCGTAGGGTCACGCCCTGGTGTCCCCAACACTACGCTTTTACACTACGCCGACCGTAGCAAAGAGTCCCCTCTCCCCGAGCAGAATCACGCAAAACTCAAACGAAAGCAAACCACACCAAACATAACGACTCCTTCTCCCCCGCCTCAACCGTTGCGTAGTGTCATAGCGTACTGTCACGCCCAGGTGTCCCCAACACTACGCTATTACACTACGCTAACGGTTTCGTAGTGTCCTCTCTCACGAAGCAGAGTCAAGCAAAACCCTAACGAAAAGCAGACGAAGAAACAACGATTCCTTCTCCCCCCGCTCAACCGCAACGTAGTGTCATAGTGTGGTGTCACGCCCAGGTGTCCCCAACACTGCGCTATCACACTACGCTGGCGGTTAGCGTGGTATCCTCTCTCACGGGGCAGAGTCCAGCAACACCCGAATGAAAAGCAAACGAAACCAAGCAATCCCATCAGCCCTCTCGGCGTCGGTGGTTTAGGGAGTTTCCTCTTCCACCTTTCCTTTTTCCTCTTTCGGGGAGGGGTCTACAACTGTTCCCTATTACTATACACACCCCTTCCCCCAAGCGACTGGGAGCCCACCCAGGTCCCCACCCACCACCCCTTGCACAAAAAAACGATACAAAGCGCACTCTGCCACCACCATCCGTTGTAAAACATACAACACACACCCTGCCTCCAAATCCGGAGCATGCGCAGCGAACCCGATGCGGCCTCCCGTCAACATCCCTGTCAACAAAATACAAAGTACATTTGGCGGCGGCGGCGGCTGCGGCGGCTGCGGCGGGGGCAGCGGCTGCGGCGGCTGCGGCGGTGGCGGCGGCGGGGGCGGCGGCGGCGGCAGGGGCGGCGGCGGCGGCGGCGGCGGCGGCGGGCGGCGGCGGCCGCGGCGGAGCGGCGGCAGCGACTGCGGCGGCAGCGGCTGCGGCGGCGGCGATTTGGCAGCTGCGGCGGCTGCGGCGGCGGGGGGCGGCGGCGGCGGCCGCGGTGGCGGCGGCGGCGGCGGCATCGGTGGCGGCAGCGACTGCGGCGGCAGCCGCTGCGGCGGCGGCGATTTGGCAGCGGGGCGGCGGCGGCGACGGGCGGCGGGCAGCGCGGGCGGCGGCAGCGGCGGACAGCGGCGGCGGCGGCGGACAGCGGCGGCGACGGCGGCGGCGCGGCGGCGGCGGCGGCGGGCGGCAGCGGCGGCGGCGGAGGCGGCGGCGGCGGCGGATGCGCCCCCAGTAGCTGCCCATCCAAAGACGACTGCTGCATATGATGCGGCTCGGGCCAGGCTCGGGTGCTACGTATGTGTTGGGAGGGCGCGGGGGAGTGAGCGAGACGGCTTGCGGGCGGGGGGGGCGTCTTGACCCCTCCCCATACCCCTCCCCTGGACCCGGGCGGGGGGGTCCGCGAGTCGCTGGAACGTCCAAAACGGCCTCGGCGAGGAAACCACAATCATTGGTTTTACTTGGGTTTTGACCCCAGTTTGGCCTCTTGGGGGGATGTTAATTAAAGCTCCCGTCTTGTTTGATCGATTTCCTCCAAAATGGCCCCAAGAAGCGCCCAGGAGGCCCCAAGAGGTCCCAAGATGGCCCCAAGATGGCCCCAAGAGGCCCCCAAGAGGCCCCCAGGAAGTCCCCAAAAGGATCCCAAGCGGCCCTAGAGGCCCGCCCCCCCGAGGCACCCAAGACGCCGAAGAGCCCCCCACGACCGCCAAGGGACTCCCCAAATGCCCCAAAACGCCCAAGAGATACCCCAAGAGGCTCCGAGAAGCATCCAAGAGAGCTCTGGCCCTTTTGCTTGCTGTCCTCCTCCTCCTCCTCCTTCCTCCTCCTATCCCTTCTCCTCCTCCTCCTCCCCCTCCGCCTCCTCCTCCTCCTCCTCCTCCTCCTCCTCCTCCTCCTCCTCCTCCTCCTCCTCCTCCTCCTCCTCCTCATCCTATTCATCCTCCTTCTCCCTACTCCCTCATCCATCAAATTTTCTCCTGCGCCCGCTCTCTCCTTCACACGGTTCGGCCGTCCGCCCCTTTGCTCCCGCACTTCCCTCATCACCTTTTCAACTCGCGCGGACATCGTTTCTGGATGGGTTGATGGGGATACTTTTTAGTTAGCGGCCGCGGGCAAGCGCGCTGGCGGCGAATCAGGTCCAAGCGGGCTACGCAGAGACTCACTAGGCAGAGGAAGCGCGACAACATTAAAACAGGAGCGACGCGCGAGGCAACAGCTACACGCTGGCCGAGGCCTCACGCAGCGGCCCAACGGCAGGTGGGTGGCTGAAGGGACTGAGACTGAGGGGAACTGCCAGCGTGCAAAGCTGGCGGGGATATTTTTTGGTCGCGGGCAGACGCGTGAAAAACTCGCCGAGAGGGGTTCCGGGGGACGGGCCAGCCTAATTAGCTACTGAACGACGCGCAAGCCGGCCAGGCCAGCACTCAGAAGCGGCGGCTGAGGGGCTGCTGCTGGTGGAACAGGCTGGCTGGTCTGCAACGCCCAGGGAAGCTGATGCAGCTTGCAGGCCTGAGGCAGAGGTGCCAAATATTGAATTAGGAATTGCACGCCAGAGACGCCTGATCAGCACTGTGCATACGACCACGCATCACACTGGCGAGGGCGCTGCCACTGCCGGTAAACCAGAAAGCGGCGCGCCACCAGGAACGGAGAGCTGGGTGGGGTGGCGGGGATGTTTTTTTTCGGTCGCGGCCGCGAGACGACGGTCAGGCGGCAAGAGCAAAGTCCGGGACGCGAGCTAGGCGAATTAGCTAAGACAGGCGCAAGCCGGCCGGCCCACTCAGACAGCAGCCGCGAAGCTGAGGAGGAGCTGACGGCGGACGGCGCCCTGCAAGCTCGAGCACGTGCACAGGACAAAGTGTATCGGAATTCAGTGCTTGCCATGGCGCAACCCATGCAGTAGAGACGTGGACCACGATGGTCAAGTCCGTCATGCTGGGCGATGGCAAGTAAGCGGCAATTGGAGTGAGTCGCCAGTGGGGCGCCAGGCTCCAAACGCCCTGACGACTTGAGCTAGCCAGAAAGGCTGAGCAGTCGTGAGCCAGCCGTGGTGCAACGCAACTGGGGAGCTGAAGGTGGGCTCGGAGGACTGTGCCTGCTGCGGAAGGCTGTGCCACTCTGCACCAAAGCCAGCCCCTGTCGGACCACTCCACAGCGGAAGGGGGAACCGAGCGACTGTGAGCCACGCAGCGCGCGCCGGCATGGCGGGGCCACTATGTGGGGGGAAACCCATTGGCGTGGTCAGCATCGCCACCGGGAAGAGCAAGGGGAGCTTCGCCGGTGGTGGTCGTGCCCTGACGGCGAAACAAGACCAGAGCAGGTGGGTCCCCAGGAGGACAGGTCGAACTGTACCTCACGGGGCACGTGGCGCCAGTGCGAGCAGGGCGTGCCGATGTCAAAAGGCGATGCGCCTGAGGGGGCCTGCACGGTGGTAGACGCGAGGGCCATCGGACGCAAAGTCAGACCCAGCCCGCCGCTGGCACTCCCGCCCAAGCCCCCGGAGCGTCAACAAACACCACGTGGCCCCCCAGGGTCGCAGCTAACCGCCGCTGAGAGTGACAAGACAAACCACGCGCAGCGAGGGACACGGGCGGCCCAGGGAGGGGGGGGCACAACACCGACGTCGGACAGTACGTCTGGCGGGCCCTGGGGCCAAGAGCGGGGGGCACCCGCCTGGCCCCAGAGGGGGGGGGGCGGGGGGAACGCCGCCCCCCCCCTCGGTCTGGCCCCGCGCCCGTGGGACAGGGGAAATGGTTATTG